AGTGCGGGTAGCGTGCAGGCAATCACGGGCGCTATTTTGTCGTACTCCTCTTCGGCGAGCGCTCCAAATCTAGACCCTATTGCCTTTAAGGAGGCTGCCCTCGCGCGTCTCAGGAATGTAGCGGTGTCTTTTGAGTCCGGCGCCGCCCGTTCGACTATTGCTGTCGCCCTCGCCGTGTGTTTGTCAAGCTTCCGCATAAAGAGGCGCGCCTCTTCCTTGTTCCCAGCCAGCGCAGTTGCCGCTCAGTATGTGCGCCAACGACGCCTGTGGTGGCTCACTGTCTTCTTGTTTCCAGTCATCCCAGTCTCGCAGTTCTCCGATTCTCCTCCTTGCCTCGCGCTCCTCTTTTGCGGCCTCATCCCTAGCCGCTTTGCACGCTCTGCCCATGATTGTGCGATTTTCTTTTGAATTCTTTTCCTGGTCGCTCCTCGCATAATGCTCTCCCGCTCCAGGCCGCCGCCCGCTCCTGCTCCCTCTCTTCCTCCTCCAGCCCGCGGATGCCGCCCAGGACGCCCAGCCGCACGACACCGTGGTTGGGCCGCTGCTCCCCGGCCTCGTCGGAGGCGCCGGGTACGGCTTCGCCGCCGCGGCCATCTCGCATCCGTTTGACACAATCAAGGTGAGGCTGCAGTCGGGCGGCGCAGCCAAGGCCGGGAGCGCCTCGGTCGGCGGCCTGCTGTCCCTCTATTGTGGCGTCGGGCCGGCCACCGCCGCGTCGATCGTGTTTCGTGCGGCGCGCTGCTCGCTGCTCGCACCGTCCGGCCGCCTCTTGCACCCTCTCACCCCGCTCCCACCGGCCGTGGCAGGTGCCCTTTGTCGGCTACGAGGCGACGCGCTCCTGGCTGCGCGCGCACGGGCTGCTGGAGGAGCGGCCGCTCGCCGCCGCCCTCCTCGGCGGGGCGGTGGGAGGCGCGATGCGCGGCTGCCTCGAGACTCCCGCGGAGCTGGTCAAGACGCGGCTGCAGCTGCAGAGCGCGTGGTCGCTGCCGCTGCTGCTGCGAGGCCTCTCGAGCACGGTCTTCCGCAACGCCGCGATGATCGGCCTCTTCTGGGCCGCCTTTGAGGCGAGCGCGCCGCTCCGCTCCCGCCTGCCGCCCCTCGCGGCCAGCTTTGTCGGAGGCGGCGGCTGCTCCGTGCTGGCGTGGGCGGCGGCCTTCCCTCTCGACACTGCAAAGTCGTGCATCCAGGCGAGCCGCCTCCCGCCGCGAGGGCGGGGGCGCGCCCTCCCGTGCCCGCCGCTCGCACGCCAACCCCCTCCCGCCTCTCCCTCTCCTTCTCCTTGTCCCTCTCCTTCTCCTTCTTCCTCTCCTTCTCCCTCTCAGGCTGGAGGCGGCTCCACCAGCGTCGTGGCGCAGCTCGGCCGCATCTACTCGGAGAGAGGCATCGCGGGCTGGTGAGAGGGCCG